TACTACTAGTAAGGCACTTGTTACTAGTAGCGATGCACTTGTTACTAGTAGCGTTGCACTTGTTACTACTAGTAAGGCACTTGTTACTAGTAGCGATGCACTTGTTTCTAGTAGCGTGGCACTTGTTACTACTAGTAAGGCACTTGTTTCTGGTAGCGATGCACTTGTTACTAGTAGCGTGGCACTTGTTACTACTAGTAAGGCACTTGTGACTAGTAGCGAGGTGAAGATGTGAAGATCATATCAGGTGAAGCATTCATCACTTGCTTGATCCCCATGTATCACCATGCTAAGCAGATGAAGCTTCATGACCGCTTCATCACCGAACGTGCGTCGTTCGGTGAGAATCTATCACGTGAGGTGCACCAAATCCAGCAGGTGTGAAATGCATCACATGCCCTGGGAAGCATGTTTTCCTGCCACTCGCTGTGGCACCCCCTTTTTCCCCAAACAGTTTACTGTTAGGGGTTCTCAATTCTTTCTTAAGATGTGTCCGCCCTTTGTGACACTGCTGGTGTCCTCCCTTTTCCGCTGGCCATGTAGCATTTCTATTCATTTGTCTCCCAGGTCTGTCACTGCTGCCGCGTCCGCCTTCCGTCCGGCTTGTCTCCCTTTGTCTCCCTTCTTGTTGGTCACTGTGTCCACCTTGTCTTCCTTCTGTTTCCTTGTGTCTCCCTTCTTGTTTTCGTTCTTGTCTCCCTGCTTGTTGGTCACTCTGTCCGCTTTGTCTCCCTCCTGTTTCCCTTTGTCTCCGCTCTTGTCTCCCGTCTTGTTGGTCATTGTGTCCGCCTTTTCTCCCTTCTGTCTCACTTTGTCTCCGGTCTTGTCTCGCTTCTTGCTGGCCTCCGTGTCTCCCTTCTTGTTGGTCATTTTGTCCGCCTTGTCTCAATTCTGTTTCCTTCTTGTTTGTCATTGTGTCTGTCTTCTCTCCGTTCTGTTTCCTGTTGTCTCCCTTCTTGTCTCTCTTCTTGTTGGCCAGTGTGTCCGTCTTGTCTCCCTTCTGTTTCCTTTTGTTTTCCTTCTTGTTGATGTCTCAAAAAGTGGTCTTGGGAATGCTTCGTTGTTGTCCCGCCTGTTTGGCGTCTACGGTGGTGTAATTCTTTGTTGAATCCTTTTCCCAAAAGAATACGTGTCATTACGTGTCCACTCTGTGCCATAGTGTTTAGATGTTCTCAGTATCAAGTTGCATCATAAGCTTGCCAGACGTTGGCGATGGTGCTGAGATTCATGTCGCCAGACCCGGGCTTAGTCTTTTTTACTGCGTGTTGTTCTATTCGCGCTTGGTCTATGCGTCATAACCATTCATTTGCTGCAGGTTATGTTGTGGTTTAGAGACGACATGGCTTTGCCAAAGAAAGATAAGGCCAGCTGCAAAGGAATTGAAACCATAAGGGGCGCTCCTCAGTCAACAGCACCGTTTCTGCTTGCATCTTACTATCTGTTTTAACCTTTAGACTTTAGACCTTTAGATATGTTTTTTATGTGTGTTTTCTGATTTTTCTTTTTCAAATGTTTGCTTTTAATTGACCTTTAGACTTTGGAACATGGACTTTCACTCAAGACGCACAAAGCGAGTTAACGGCCAGGCGCCTCCACAGCAAGCACCTCCGGCGGAGCGGCACGACTGAGACGCGTCCAACTGCGTTCCGAATTGCAAAAAGTGAAAGCAAAAAGTGCTCATGAAAAATTACACCACCGTAGACCCCTGGGAGACAAATGTAAACTACGTTGGCAATTCGAACATTTTTTTTGTACTGTTTCTTGCTTCTAGAAGTCTTTCTTTCTTGCCCGTCCATGCGGCCACAGCGGCTCCTCCCGTGCGCCTTTCTCTTCTGACCTTTGCATGGGGCCTCAGAACCTTTCGCAGTTATTGTTCAAGAACTTAAGTTAATTGAAAGGTCAAAGCCAATCGCGTAAGGGTTCTTTTCATGATTTCAGGGTTCTTTGCATGAGCCAAACGTCCATTGAGGCCTGGCTTGCCCTTCTTCAGCTTCCTCTTCAGCCCTGTGTGCACGTGGTGAAGGCTTGGATTGGACCGGTGGTGGGCTGCGTTGACATGAGTGTGAGGTGTTCACGAGTTTCATATGACAATGAGGCTGACTAGGCTCATGAGGTTCATGATTGGACCAGTTGACTTTGGTGTTTTACTTTGCTGGGCTATGAGCCTTTGCATTTCAAGCTCTTGTGTGCATTGCCTGCGTTGCAGCCTGGCCGCCATGGCAAGTCATGCTCAAGCAAAGGAGGAGGCCATTGCTGCATTGGAACGTTACGATGCTGGTCGTGGAGCATTAGGTGATCTAGCTCAGCCTGCCCAGCCAACCCTGCTGCAACTGATGCACCTGCCACTGCTGGCGAGGACGCGCCTGCTGGAGACACTGATGGGCCAAGGCCGTCCATGCTTCAGGGGCGTCGTCCTTGAGGGTGGGGTAGGACGGTTGGAGCGCATAGGGGAGTTGAAGGAATCCAATGACAACAGTGATCTTTGCACGATGGAAGCTCTACAAGCATATTCAAAAGGGCTATGATGAAATGTACTATCATGTGGAAAAGCGCTATTGGGAATCTTGGGAACACACTGAATGGAGAACGGACAATGCAGAATTCCAAATCACAGAACTTGGTTACGAAATCAGAGAGATTGAGAATTATGAAGAGAGAGTTGATCTCTTACACAACTATGCCAGGAGAACTCAGTGTGGATTGATTCTCAATGGGTGCTTGACTGAGCATGAAGTGCCAAACATTCCAACAATCATCGCCTATGATACGCTACAAGAGTTGAACGCAGGGAACTTCTTAGCCAGAAGGAGCTTGGAAGATATGCAAGCGACAGAAGGACAATATTATGTTGAAGGCAGGGAGCAACACCATCAGAAGGACCATTGAACAGAATAGGAAACATCAGAGAACAATACATCACAGAACAGGCAAGTCAAATGTGTGGTCGACTTGAAGCAAAACTTGGGCAACTCCATGAAAGTATATGCGCCTCATGAGTAGAGGACAGCAAGAGGGAGCAGATATGGTAGAGAAGGAATTGGGGAGGTATCAAGAATTTTTAGAATGCGCAGTCATGAGGCGAGATCATGCAGAGCAGACCACAAGCAGAGATACCACCATTCTCTGGGAACCCAGTTCCTTAGAGAAAGTCAATGGCCTGTAGGGAAAAGATGAATCAGATAGAGAAAATGGATTATGGTGGCAAAGTGAGGTCAAAGAAGCGTCTTAGAGTTTCACATCGCCAAGAAGGAGCGCGAACCAATTTCCACTCAGATCACACTCTAGTCTAGTTGTTTAGCATTTCTAGAATCGCTGAATGCACTTGCAGCCCCTTATATCTATATATTTTTTCTTTGTTTATACGTTTTTTACTGTGAAAGCAAAATTGAACCATATAAGCGTACATCTTCTCGTTCTCCATGCAACCTCGCAGCTGCTCCTTCAACGGCCAGCCTTGTTTCACATCGAATGAAGAAGTTCGATGCTTGGGGGGGGCCATCGCAATGTCAAAGCGGTGGTTCACCACCCTTCAGTTTGAATCCAAATGAGGTACTTCGGAATTCCCGCATCAAAACGTGCAGCTTCAAGTCTTGGAGTGAAACTGACACGTCCATCCTCATGTTTCAGACCAGTTTTGGACTCTCCAAGACTCCAATAGCTAAGCGAAGCGCTTTTAGACTGGAACGCAAAGCCGGCCCTTTCCGGAGGCGTTCCGGGACAGACTTCCAGTCGGGCACCGCTCGGGGGGGAGGCAAAATAGAGAGCGCACAGCGTTGCACTTGTTTGCAAACATGGAAAAAGGAAGAAAACAAAGTGAAACACACTGGTGGTTACGCATGGTTACGCAAACCATTGCCAACCCAAGGTCCTGCAACGCGACGCTCTCTTGCGCAAGTTTTGGCTCATGTGTGTGTGTTTTTGCCTTTGGCGCATCATGTCAACGAGCAAAAGGAAACATGAAAATGTTTACAGACCAAGTTTGCATCTACAGCATGAAAAGAAAATGTTTCAGAATGTTCCATGTTTCGATGTGCAGCATTGTTTTCTTAAAACCTCTTCGCTTTCCCGCCCCAAGATGCAAACTTCCAGGCAAGTTGAGATGAGAAGTTGCAAATTGTTTTGGCTAAAGGCAATATAAAAACCAAACAAGTTTTCAGTGTTTGCTCAACAGGTTCTGGGTTTGGAAAGATTTCACGCATGTAAACCCCAAACACGTTTCCACCTCTTAGCAAGAAATGTTTGTAAATGTTGACATTCACATTTCAGTTGTCGTGTGTTTTTCAATTGCAACATGTCGTGTTGTGAAATACAAGTGTCGGTTTGTTTTGATTGCGTTCCAACTACTAGGGTGGAGGCCATCGTTACTAGGGTGGAGGCCATAACTACACGGGTGGAGGCCATCGCTCTCAGGATGGAGGCCATCGCTACTAGGTGACATCACCTTCCAACTTAGTTGTTGCGTCACCTTCAAGATGTTCTACCAGGGAGCACCTCCGGGATGATCGCAAGGCGACTAGAAGAGACGAGCGAATCTAGAGTCTAGAGAGTTGAGGGTGAGAGCGGAAAGTTGAAATCTTCAAACAATAAACACCCAAAAGTCTTTCGGCAATTGAATTTGGAAAAAGCAAACAAAGGAAGAAAGAAAACAAGAAACAAAGGAAAGGAAGCGAAGGCATGCTAGTGTATTTGCAAATTGCACCCTATTGCGATTGGCCTTGATGACCCTCCGCCGTGCTCTTTTTGGACTCCCTTGCTTGCCTTGCTTCCCAAGTTGTCCAGTTGCTCTTTTACACTCCCCGTCTTTTACAATCGTTGCTCTTGTCCAAGTTGCGTTGGACACAGAATGCGTTTCCCAAATTTCTCGCTGTGCGAGGCCAGACTTTCGTTGCCTTCCTTGAGAGGCGAAAGAAGCAGAATTCTTCTTGCGATGGCCTCCAACCTACTAGCAACTTGCAAGTGCAATTCTGTTATAGGTGGAGTAGGCCGTAGTAGGCCTATGTAGCAAGAAAACGAGGTAAGCTACTAGCAATAGGTAGCTACTATCTAGGATGCAGGGAAGCTCACGCACTATTCGTTTGGTTCCTGCAAGGGTTAATCCAAAAATCGGAGGCCAAGAAAACTTTGCCCCGCGCATACCTCAGATCACTTGCCTTGATATCCAGCATCGCAACGACCAACTCAGGACAAACTGCCAAAGAGTCGCTGGCTCACAACACGTCACGATCTCTTTCTTTCTTGTACCTTCAGACCTTTTTCTATGTTTCCTTGCTGCCTTTTTCTTTCTTTCATGTTGAAGACGCTTTGCTTGGCTTTTGGTTTGCAGAAGTGTCCCAAGGCTTTGGATGAGGTTCACCTCGCCTTGAAGGCGCCAAATCGGGAGATTTCAGAAAGAAAGGTCCAAAGGTTTAAATAAGAAAGCACGAAAAGAAAAGAACAAATTACTTTACTTCGAGTGGTCCCCACCGTGACATTTCAATCATTAGTGTTCATGCCATGGTGGGATGCATGTTGCCATGGTCGTGGGTTTTGTGGTTTTAGGTTTTGCTTGTGGGTCTTCGGTGTTAGGGAGTTCATGTGATGTCGCCAAGATCTCCAGTCATCCAAAAGTGCTACCCTGTGACAGTGCTCCACGCACAGGTAATTATGTTGTTGAGTATGTTGTTGTGGTTGTGAATTTGAGATTGTGCGTTTATTGTGGCTGTGTCTTTGCGGCTGTGCGTTTGTGGTTATGTTTGCGATTGTGTGTTTGTGGCTGTGTATTTGTGATTGTGCGTTTGTGGCTGTGCGTCTGGGGTATGTTTGTGATTACTTGTGGGTGTGTATTTGTGACTGTGTGCTTGTGGATGTGCGTTTGTGGTTATGTTTGCGGTTGTGTGTTTGCGTGTGTTTGTGGCCGTGTGTTTGTCATTGTGTGTTTGTGGCTCTGGCTGTGTGTTTGTGATTGTGCGTTTGTGGCTGTGCGTCTGGGTTTGTGTGTGATTATGATTGTGTGCTTGTGGCTGTGTGTTTGTGGCTGTGCGTTTGTGATTGTGCTTGTGGCTTTGCGCTTGTGACTGTGTGTTTGGAGTGTTTGTGACTGTGTTGGCGCTTGCTGTTGTATACTGTTGGTTGTTTTGTGCTGGTTGCACATATATATATATATTACGTTGATATATATATATACATACGTTTTTCTTTTAACATTTTTGTTTTTTTGTATGTGTTGGGCCCGACAGTGCCCACTGCGATCGGGAGCTGGCGGTTGAGGTCCGGGAGTGCCCACTGCGATCTGGCGCTTGCTGTTGAGGCGCTAGTCAAGAAGACGAGGAGAGGAGCCCTGATAAAATCTAAAGCCCTCACCCGGCAGGTGAGAAAAAACTAATAGCGATGGCCTCTAACCTAAAAGAAAAGAAAAGGAAGGAAGGGAAGAAGCAGGGAAGAAAGGTAGACAAAAGGAAAGGTCAGCCGAAGCAAGCTTCGAAGAGAAAGCCCGAGTAACTGAAGATTGCTCCAGTGTGTTCGCATGATGTGCGCATAAATGCGTAAGTGCAAATGCATCACTTGCATCGTCAGCATCACGCGCATCAGTGGCAGCCGGAGAGAAAAGTTCAGAGTGAAAGCTCTATGTCCACCTTTTGCGCAAGGCTCTATCAACGTACAAGTGTCCAAGAGATGAAGGCACAAAAATGCATGAGTCGCTCCAAAACATTTGGGTCGGTAGCTGCAAGTGTACGCAGTGGGCAATGCAGATACAAATGCACGAACATGGTAAAGCAAAGTCGCAATTGGCGGGTCACCGGACCACTGTTCTCGCACCGTTTTGTACCCTTGAGGTGCTCGAACACAACTGCGCGTGATTTGAGGGTGCAGTTGAGGGATGGATTCGGGCACGGCCACCGTCGAATGGTCGTAGGTGTTTCGGTGGTTTGTGGTAGTGCTTTGTCAGGGAACGAAAACGAAAGACCGTGGCACTAGGGGTGGTGCATAGTGTTGTTGCCTTGGCGCGGCTGTTGGGAAATTGAATTTCAGCACTGTGAAGCACTGTGCTCGGTGCATAGTAGTAGTGAGAAGAGATTGGAAAAAGTAATGTGATGCGAAGGCTCAAAAAAGGTTTCCATAGGTTGGAGGCTGGACGGCATAGTTTCTAGGTTGGAGGCCATTCCTTACAAAATCACAGTTCCTCACCGCATCACATCGCCACATCGCCGCATGACAGTGCACAAGACACCTCATCACGTGTCACCACACAAATCACAGCAGCGAGTCACAGCAAGCCACGTTTCCCAGAATTTTTTCCGTTTGTGAGATTTCTGGAGATTACCAGGCGCAAGAAACCACAGCTAACGGACGAAGATAGAAGAACGCGGAACACCTGTTTGCGTAAGATTGGGTGAAGAAATTGTTTGGAAGTAAAGATCGGAGAACCAAGAGTGAGCCATGGTTCAAGTTAGCGTTCAAAACAGTTCAACATGTTCTTGCATTCAATTAGTCTTTGTTTGTTTTCCCTTTATAGGCATATCCCTCATGAGGCGTCTGACAAGCTGCGGCGAAAGAGCCTCCAAGGAGAGACACGAGCTGAGAACCTGAAAGCGAAGTCGAAATCAATCTGGATGTGTTTTTCTTGTTTTTACATGTGTTAAGACATGTTTTTCAATTTAAAACAATTTGATGTTGTTCTTGTTGTTTTTGTGTTTAACTGTTTCTTAGATTTTTTCGGAGCGAGCGGCGAGCACGGACTTTTTGTTTGGCACCGCCGCAACACGTGTTCTGCTCTTTTCCCACCCTGCGGACCAGCCCGTCGATGCCTTGCCAGACCAGTGGCCAGCCACAATGGAAGCATTGCAGGTCACCTTCCGCAACTGCAACGGCAACACCAACCATGTAGACTTTCTCCATAGACAAGACTTTCAGACCCCCATCTTAGGTTGCAGGCCATCGCTGTTGGGTTGGAGGCCATTGCGCATAGCTGAAATGGGCAAAGCATTTCCTATTTCCGACCAGCATAGGGGTTACAGGCGGCAAGATTTGAGGCTCTTGGTCCTTTGTGGGGACGCCTGCGAGTTTCACGCGCACCATTTGGTCAGAAGTTGAGGGCGTTGCGGACGGCCGCTTGACCGAGGGCGCTACATGCCTGCGCGTCCGTTCGGATCACGGAGCAGCAATTTGCGTCTCTGAGGGCAGGAGCAGTCCGGGGTCTTCATATGGACAAGCCGGGCACCAACGCCACGCTCCTCCTTGGTTTGCATTTTCATCCTATCCATGATCCAGAGTTTTTCGCCTTTTGGCATACCCTTTTGGATTTTCGTAGGCTCCAGAACGAACAGGAGGTACAGATTGATTTGCACTGGATCTTGTCCCATCTTCAAGGTTGCTTTCCTCCAGGACCTCTTTGGGTTTTGTTTATGGGCTGCACAAGACTCCAATGGTCCTGGGATGTCCAGACTGGCTTGTTGCGAGATCGCATTGGTAGTTTCAGTTTGTGGAGGGTTTCTTTGAAGGAGCTGGAATTTCGGGCGGTTTTAGCTTGGCAACATATGGTCGGCGCCATCTGTCAACACAGGAAAGGTTTTGCGCGCCTTGCAGGAGTAGATGCCCATCTGTCCATGGGTGCCGGTTTGCCCTTGACAGACACACAACAGGGTCTCGTGAGAACTGCCCACGCGGGTACATTCTTCACTCAGGATGGCTTGAAACATTCATTCCTCCCCTGAGGGAAATGATACCTGTGTTCATTGTGGTGCAAGAGACAGCATAGATCATCGCATCTGGT